CTGACTTGCTCCTAACACTGATGTTTATTCCTTGCCAAAAGAAAATAGTAGACCCTGGCCATGGAACAGAATTGTGCTCTGTTAGATTGAAATGTTTTTTTATCATATTTTGAAATTGTTTGGTGATTGACTAATAGTCCTTATAATGTTTGTAATCTGCCTTGAATCCTGATGATGATGATACATGTTGATGAACCTGACCCCCATGCATACTAACTGATGCAAAGAAGAGGGCCAAGGAGTAGAGAGGAAACATTTTTCTACAAACCTAGAGGGACCTTCCCTAATCACACAAACAAAAATACGGAGATTAAAAAGACTCCTAAAAATGTAGAAGCATCAGTCTGAGTACTGGGGAAGGCATGTACTGAGCACTGGTGATATTGATGCCCTGCCCTCCTCCATCCTCATCACCAGGAAGGTGGCAGTCAGCTCAGCAGTGTTAGGGCAGTCACCACTGCCTCCACCCCCTCCTTCCATCTCTTCCTCCTACTAGCTTCCAGGAGGAAAAGAAGAGGGTGGCTGGAGATGGCAGGCATTCCTGGTCAGTGGCATTTGAGCTGAGGGGTAGCTCAAGCATCCATGGCCAGCCCCTATGTCCTGGTAGTATGAATAGAGTGGGGAAGAGAAGTGGGAGCTATGCCTCCTCCACTGGTCCTGCAGGTAGGCAGGCAGGTGGGTGAGGGAAGAGTGGGGGGGGCAGGGGAGGGGAAGTGGGTATTGCCATCACTCTCTACATCAGCTATGGGTGGAGAGTGATTCTGTGAGTGGCTGGGTTAGTCAGTGAGTGGCTGGCTGGCTGGCTGGCTGACCAACTGTAGGGGGAGGATAGGATTCTTCCTCCCCTCCACAAGTCTTGGAGGTCCTCAACTTGTAAATAAATAAAATTGAAATGGGATAATTTTTTTTAGAATTCTTTCATTGACTTGTAAAGCTCTCTCTCATTCTGTATTTGTAATGTTAAAATGCGCACAAGTAAGAAATCTTTTTCTAATTGGATCTAAGTACACTGGCATCCTGTTGCACTTTGGATTAGAGACTTCTTGGATGTTTGGAATCTCTCCCTTATTATAATTGAGTAGTGGGCACCAAAATTCTAAAATGCCCGCCTTTAGTGTTTGGCTGGAAGAACTGCCACTCAGAAGACACTGGCTGGGTTGACTGGCTGCTTTGTGCAGTCCCGCCCAGCATTCCAAGGTCATTTGCATATGGAAGCTGATTGGACTTCACATTCCACACCTCAAACTCCCCCCCTCCCCCACAAGGCAGTTGGGATTTTCAGTTGCATAACATACCTCATACGGGAGAGGAGAATTATGTCGCTGCCCTTTCCCTAGGCAGAGGCGGTGTGTGTGGGGGATTGTAAAACTTAAGACTGACAGGCAGATAAACGTTGGCTGACAGTTGCCAGGAAAGGACATAGGGTTGCCAACTCCAGGTTGGCAACTTCCAGGATATTTTAGGGATGAAGCCTGCTGAGGGTGGGGTCTGAGGAGGAGGAGAAGGGGGACCTCAGACAGATACAATGCCATACTGCCCACACTCCAGACAAGCTGTTGCCAGTCTCCAGGTGACAGCTGGAGAGATCTTAAAGCTTTGGTGCTAATTCAAAGTGTTGCAATTTATTGACAGAGTAGTGTTTTGGAAAATCTTTAGGAATTGTTTGGTGCATTTGGGGCTCCTGGGGAACTATTGTTGCCAATCTTGGCCCAGCAGCCATCAAACCATTCTCTTCAACCCCCTGCTGTGCAGCTGACTTTCCCCTAGGGTTGCCAATCTCCAGGTGGGACCTGGAGATCTCCCACTGTTACAATTGATCTCCAGATGACAGAGATCAGTTCCCCTGGAGAAAATGGATGCTTTGGAGGGTAGACCCTATGACATTATACCTGCTGAGTCCTTCCCCCCCCCCCGCCGCCTAATGTTGCCCTCTACAGAATCCACCCCCCAAACCTCCAGGTATTTCCCTCCTTAGAGCTGGCAACCCTACATTCCCCTCAGTGCCTGTTGGTAGGCAACTAAGCTTGGTCCTGTCACCTACTTTGGCCTTTGGGAGAAAACACATTGGGGCCAGTCCTGATAGGGTTGCCAACTCCCGATGGGAAATTCCTGGAGATTGGAGGGATGGAGCCTGAAGAGGGTGAGGTTTGAGGAGGGGTGGGACCTCAGACAGGTACACTGCCATAGACTCCACCCTCCAAACCAGTCAGTCCCACATAGGGAACCATTGTTGCCAATCTCCAGGTGAGGGCTGGAGAGCACTCAGAATTACAACTGCTCTGCAGAAGGGAGGGCAGAAGTCAGCTGAAGTCAAAGGGGCAGATAATGGTAGGTTGATGGTTAGCTGGGAAGGAGATGGGGTTGCCAACTACATGCTGACAAATTCCTGGGGATTTGAGGGGTGGAGCCTGGAGAGGGTGGGGTTTGCAGAGGGGTGGGACCTCAGACAGGTAGAATGTCATAGACTACACCCTCCAAACCAGCCATTTTGTCCTGGGTAACAATTGCTGCCAATCTCCAAGTGAGGGCTACAGATCACTCACAATTACAACTGCTCTTCAGGTAGCAGAGATCAGTTCCTCTGGAGAAAACAGTGGACTCTGTCATTATACCCTGCTGAGGTCACCACAGCAAATTAACACTGTTTGCCCAAAGCCAGAGCACTGCCCCAGAGCCTCTTTCTAGATCTCGTTGTATTGCTTTCACAACGGGCTTTACTGCTAGTGAACATATAGCAGAAAATCTTCTGAGAAAGCAATAGCATGAAAGAAAACTTTACTGAAATGAGGAACCAATACAGACTATAGAACTTCAAGAAACCCCTTAGATCTGAAGCAAATTCTTCTGAAGTCATCACTCAGGACTTCTAAAATACTTGATGTATAACCTTTTATCATTAGCTAATTTTAATATATTTTACAGTTGGATGTATTATTGTTCCTTTGCCATCAGCAGCTGATACAGTTATTTTACATTTCACTTGCAAATATTTATGGATACATGTATACTACAACAGTTCTAAAGCCCATAATTTTTTTTAGCATCTTTTACATTTCAAAAAGAAAAAGGACAGCTCCCATTAGGCTGGATCTTGCCAGCAGAAAAGCTGGCACAAAAACCAATATGGGCAATCTTGCCTGATTCCCTTCCTCGCTGTAGTCCTATCCCAGTTGATTATTTGCCCATGTAAGTCCTATGATCCATTTGCCCTTTTGGCAGTCAAAAGGGCTCCTGCTCCCTCTTGCACCAACAGAAAATCTGGAGGGATCCAAACTATTGGGTATAATTTTTTTTAAAAAAACCCTATTTGACAGTATACACATGCCCATATGGTTGGAGATCCTGAAGGCAGGTTAAAATTGTCTGTAATACAATGAGAAGATATGTTGAATAATGGCAAAATCATCCACATTCATTTTGTGGATGAGTTTTTAAAAAAGATTTCCAAATTTAAGAAGTTTCTTGTAGCAATTGATTTATATGTTTTATTGAATTATTTAAATTTTTTTAATATTCTTTGTTCAAATGTTTTAATATTTTCATGTTCATCACATTGGAGACCCTGATCAAACAGAAAGGTGACATTAAAATGTTTAAAATAAAATAAATTATTTCCTACCTGATGTGAACTTGTATAATTTTTTTTTGTCTTGTGATACTGACATTTTTACCCTGGTTTTGCCCTAATTCTTGTTTGGCAGTGTATGACACAGTGTTTGGCTCTTAGCTCACAGACTCTAATATAATTGGCTTTTGATCACATAAGAGAAATCTGAGAACCAAGTTACTATTAACCAAAAATCTCACCAGCTATGAAAGGGGAAGGAAGGGAGAGGCCTTATCCACTTGTTATGTGGAGGACAAGAAACTGTGTCTTCCCTCAGGTATGCATAATGTTTGAATAAACATGCATTGTACCAGCAGTTCAAAAGAACTAGAACTATTTTTAAATTGAGAAGAAAAAGGTATATGGAGATGACATTATTATCCAACTGTAGATGAAGCACTATATTTCAAAGCACTGCTCTCTTAACTGGGGAGCAGAAAGGTAATATAGGTGTACATTAGTCTTTGAAAATAAAAGAATTTAACCAACACAAGTTTTTATAAAGCATTTAAATGCCTTCTGAGTTGACATGCTGCGGCGGCAGTGCTACGTGAGTGAGCTGTCAGAAGGCATTTTATTGCCTTCTGAGCTCAGTGGTGAGTCGCACTGCAGCGGTGGCGCAGCTTTAAAGGGTTCCCTACTATTGTCTTGGTACCAGCATGTCTGGCCATGAACCCTCTTACGAACTGAACAAACCATTGCAAAACCCATGACAGTTCATGGGCGGTTTGTGAACCACGCAATTACATAAATAGCAGCTCATGAACACATGAACCAGCCAGGTTTGTCATGAAATTCAGTTCATAATTTGGTTTGTGCTCATCCCTATTGGCTACTGCCCTAGATGGTCAGTGGTGACCAGGAACAAGTTTGGACCAGAGGCCTCTGCAGTACTGTTAAGTGCCAGAGAGGCCACTTGAGTTGGCTTGCTTCAGGACTACTTTAACATCTCAATCCACCCGTTTTTTATTCTAATGGTTTTTTAAAAAAACTTAAAGGTCTGAAACAATAGCATGTGAGCCCAAGAACTTCAGAAGCTTATAATAAAAAACAAACCTGTTCAACAACATGATTTCAATTCTTATGACTGCTTACATGATGTTATTGTTGGGTGAATGAACTGAAAGTTTGTTGTATACTGAACTCTACTCTTCACCACAGCATGTTACTACATTTCTGTCAGTACTGAGGACTACTTCATAATAATAAGTATACAAATACAAGCACCACAACTTTAATAATATCCTTAAAATCTGTGTAACATAATAATGGCAAGGCAAGAAGGGGGTAGTTTTTGCCAGCCATGTAACTGAATCTCCCAAGCATACGGTTAGAGAGACAATGCCTTCCTAACTGAAACTATGAAGGTATGAAACCTAAACATAAAACATACCCGAGCTGCAAGTCTGGCATCCATCTGCACATGGAACACAGTCGTCTGAGTCAGGATCCTTCACTTCACCTGCACATTAGATAATGTTGATTTATTCTGCCCAAAGAAATAGGTACTTAGGATACAAAGACTAATCTAGTTCTTCCCAGCATAGTTCTATGCATGCCTGTGTTCAATGTGGTTTACTTCCAGTAAAGTGTAGATTGTAGCTTCAGTCAATATAAAACTACCAATGCTACTGTGACTATGAATACTTACATTTGAGTTTATATCCACAGAGTATAAGGAACTGTACAGAGTATAGATATAGCACAGAGGTTTTACATTAGGTACACATTTCATGGCAAAACACTACCTGGTGACACTACCCCAAATAAACACTACCCCAAATAGAAACTGGCATACTTTAAAAGAAGATTGAGAGAGTAAATTTGCCTCATCCCTAATGTATTACCACTTTATATGAACCAAACTGTTTATTCATATTATCAGCACCAAGCATCAGTATAACTGGCATGGCTGCATTTTATGGAAATTGCAATTCACTAAACTAATGACTTTGCTCTTCACTGGAAGTGAGATTGTAAAAAAGTATGCTGTGGAGACAGAGTACACATTCTCGCATCCTGCAGACTTTGGGGACATGACTTCTGTCAGAGGTCTTGTACAAGCATGGAGGTGCTGGACAACAATCTAAGCAGCTTATAAGAGTTGATGCATTTGTGTTATTTTAAATCAGTCTGTAAATTCAAAATCAGATCCAATTTAACTGCAAATGTTATGTCCTCAATGAGCAATTTAAAGTTTACCAGCAATGTCAAATATTTTTCAGGAAGGTAACGTTATATCTTTGAATGTATTATTTTTGCATTATATATCTGATCAGGCCAATGGCCCATCCAGTCCATCCAATGGCCCATCCAGTCCAATATATCCACACTTTAATAAGAGTACAAAGATCATAGAATCATAGAATCATAGAATGTTAGAGTTGGAAGGGACCTTGCAGGTCATCTAGTCCAACCCCCTGCACTCTGTATGAATGCATACAGAAAATATACATATATTTGAGAAACTGGAGAAAGAAATTCATGCTACATACGTACCTATATTTTCATTAATTTTTTGTAGTGCAAAGCACTTTTGTAAATACTTGTTTTCATGTAACTATCATGAAAAAATATAACAAAAATAATGATACTACAAATCTGAAGGACACAATCTGGAATGCATCATATTTCTATGGTGAGCTGTTAAAGGAGACCAGCTCCAAAAACAAAAGCAAAAAGACACACAACCTGAAATGATGTTAAACACATAAGAACATAAGAGAAGCCAATATTGAATCAGGCCAATGGCCCATCCAGTCCAACACTCTGTCACATAGTGGCCAAAAATACCAGGTGCCATCAGGAGGTCCAGCAGTGGTGGCAGCTACAAGCATGGACAGCTTCAAAAGGGAATTAGATAGGTATATGGAGCAGAGGTCCATCAGTGGTATTAGCCACAAGGTATAGATAGGGGCTCTGGGGCAAGTGATGCTCTGTCTTCTTGGTGCTTAGGGGGGCCAACAGTGGGAGGGCTTCTAATGTCCTGGCCCCACTGGTGGACCTCCTGGTGGCCCCTGGTATTTTTGGCCACTGTGTGACAGAGTGTTGGACTAGATGGGCCTTTGGCCTGATCCAACATTGGCGTCTCTTATGTTCTTATGTTCTTATAGTTTCAGATTGATCCTGCCTATGGATGTCCTCGGAAGTATGAGGACCACCACTTGTGCCCTGGACACACACCCATCAGGGCCTTAAAAATCTTGCCGAGAAAAGTTATCAGACCATTAGTGAAAATCATCAACTCCTCCCTGACTGAGGGAACTCTCTCTAGGCCTTCGAAGGAGGCAGTTATTAGACTGCTCCTCAAAAAACCTTCACTGGCTAGGGATGAGTTAGCCAGTTACAGGTCAGGCTCCAATTTATCTTTTCTAGGGTTGGTGATAGAGCATGTAGTGGAAGAATGACTCCAGGGCTTCCTGGATGATACATCTGCCTTTGACCCATTTCAATCTAGTTTCAGACCTGGGTTTTGTACCAAAATGGCTTTAGTTGTACTGGTGGATGATCATTGTTTAAAGCTGGACAGGGGACTTTCATCCTTGTTGATACTGTTGGACTTCTCAGCAGCCTTTGACACAGTTGACCACTCCATTCTTATCCACCAGCTTGAATATGGAGTTGGTATTAAGGTTGTACCCATTTGGTGGTTTCACTAAAAAAACCTGTGTGACCAGGCACAGAGAGCCTCTACCGGATGTACAGAATCAACTGTGTGGAACTTATCTTGTGGAGCACCACAGGGTTTTATTCCTTCACCCATGCTCTTTAATATATATATATGAAACTGCTGAATGAGATTCTCTGGAGCTTTGGGTCGGATGTCATCATTATGCAAATATGACCAGGTGGCCAAGGCAGAACAAAGCAAAGCTGAATACAGAAAAGACAGTAATGCTGGTCAGGAAGGCTGATATTCTAGAGGGACTGAATCCACTTGTCCTAGATAGAATGACACTGGCCTTTTTAGAACAGGTCAAGAGCTTGGGCGTGCTTATGGACCCTGCTTTGTTGTTTGAAGAGCAGATTGGCATGGTGGCCAGAAGAGCCTTCTATCAAATGCATCTGATTTGCCAACTATCTTGTTACCTAGACTCAGCTGATCTGGCCATGCTGATCCATGTTTCTGTAACCTCACAGTTGGATTACTGCAAAGTGTTGTATATGGGGCTACCCTTGAAGACCACCCTGAAACTACAACTGATCCAGAATGTGGCAGCCCATCTGCTGTCAGGGGCTAGCTACTGGGAACATATGTTGCCCATTATGAAGCTGCTTCATTTGCTTCCAGTCTGCTTCTGAGTTCAATTCAAGCTGCTGGCTATGACTTTTAAAGCCCTTCATGACCTAAGACCCACATATTTGAAGGTCCATCTCCTTCCATATGTCCCTGTGCACCAGCTACAGTAATCAGACAGCCACCTGTTGGTTATCCCACCACTTAGGGTGGCCTGTCGGGCATCAACCAGAGCCCAGGCCTTTTCCATCTTGGCTCCAATTCTGTGGAATGGGCTCCTTGAAGAGATGAGGGGACCCCACTTTTTGGAGATCTGAATATAGCTATAAGGCCTGGCTGTTTACCAGGACATTTGAGGGGGCTTGAACAGCAAAGATCTTTTAAGGGGAGGGGAGGGATTTAGCATGTTATTTTCTCTTTAGTTTTAGTTGGAGATATTTTAATTATTGTTATATGCCTCCATGAACTGAGAGGAAAGGTGGGATATGAATGCTTAAATAAACATAAACAAAACATCATTCATTAATTCATTATCTATGTTCAGTGTTTGTACAGTGCCTGTTTCTTTTTCTTCAGAAATAGAAGATTTGGCACCTTCTGACCTGTAGGGCACTAAGCATATGCTTCATCTGACGATTAGTAAAGCCTGCTTCAGCAGCAAATTTTCCGGGGTCATCTGCATGCATTTATATAACCAGGGTCAGTTTTCCAGGACCAGTTAATTTGTCTTTGCAAGGGTGGGCCCAGGCAAAGTCAACATGACAAGGCTTCTCTGCCCTCCACCAGTATCCCCATTCTTCTACCATGTGGTGTTACCCAGCCTTTTCTAGTGGAAAAGCTTCGGCAGCCTGGATACTTGGGACTGGGGGAATAACATACCCCCATATTTCACCCCAGTTATACATGGCTAGATTTTTAAAAGGAAAATATCTCAAGCCACCATATTCAGTGAAGATGGTCATGTTTTGCAAGTGTGATGAATGGGTTGTAATACTTGTAATAACATTGGTGGGGGGAAAGGTCTCTTTTAGGCTATTTAAACCTCGATGAAAATGCATATGTTGTATTTTCCCACAACATTGTTCAAGTTCTGTTGTACAAAATTTTACCTGTTCTACACATGTGCTTCTGGCAGCTATTATCAGCCAGATAGTATCCTTCAAAGCATCTCTTGCACTCAGTTTGATCGAGGCACACTTCACAATGCTCAAAGCAAGGCTCACAGACATTGTCCTCTGAATGATAGTAGCCAAGGGGGCATTTCAGTCGACACTCCCCCAAGTAGAGGAACTGGTTGATGCCTTTCTTGTCTGTAAAGCAGAACACATGACACAACTGAATAAAAATGTTAGAGGAATTATTAAAGGTCAGGATCCCACTATCAATACCGTTTTATACCACCCTTATGATAACCCTACTGACATGGCTAAATCAAGTGGGGAGGTTTCTAATGTTTTGACTTTCTTTTCCAGCTTTGGTTATCAGCCCTGTTGTATCCTTATTGAGGTCCTACATGTGTGTGCTGCCATTCTGAGGTGAAATTGGTCAAAATAAATGTAGATTGATTTTGACAGAGCTCTCCCCCCACTCAAAATGGTGTCTTATGCTTTACTCTCATGCCGGTGCACCAGTGAAGGAGTGTGAATGTGGTCCAAAGAGTTTGATTCCTTCCTGTCCCTCTTTTGCAGCAATGAATGGGTGCCTATATTTCTGTGCAGGTAGCTGTGGAGTGGCTGGATGCTGATTGGTCAGCAACTCATTTTTAATCTATAGTAACCAGGAAGCCCACCTTCAGCCTCCTCCACTAACACCTAGAAATAGTGTAAATGAGCTGGGAGTCTGAAAGGAAGAGAGAGCTGGTCTAGGTGGAGTAATATGGGTAAACAAAAGTTTATTTACTTGGGGAGGGGAAACAGAGGAAAATAAATTTGGATGAAAATTTTATTTGGGCAAGGGGAATAAAATGGAGGAGAGGATGTAAGCTGTTTTGGATCCCTATTGGGGAGAAAATCAGGGCATGGATTAAGTAAATAAGTAAGTAAATAAATGAAAGATTGCACAATCTGGAGAAAATGAATAGAGAGGACACCTTCTGCTTCTCCCCAGAGAAGGAGAGAACTTTCTAAAGAAGTTGATGAGCAAAAGATGGAGGACAAATAAAATAAAATATTTTCTATGCAATATATAATTAACATGTGGCCACAGGATGTGATGGCCACTGACTTTGATGGCATTGAAAAGGGATTAAACACATTCACATTAGGATAGCTCCATCAATGACTATCAACTATGATAGCTAAATGAGTCCTCTATGTTTAAAGTCAATATGCCTCTGAATGCCAGTTGCTGCCTGATAACAATAAGAAAAAACTCCGGTTTCTGTGCCCCTGCTGTATGTCTTCTTGGGTACCTTTTGGGCTTATGTGTGACACAGCTGAACCATTGTTCTGATCCAGCAGGGATTGATGCTTTAAAGGATATGAATAGGGTCACAGAATCATAGAATTGGAAGTGACCTCCAGGGTCATCTAGTCCAACCCCTGGACAATGCAGGAAATTAGCAAATTTCCCCACATCCCCAGTGACCCCTGTTCCAAGCCCAGACGATGGCTCCAACCTCCCCCCCCAGGATCCTTGGCCAATCTGGCCTGGAGAAAAATTGCTTCCTGACCCCAAAGTGGTGATCAGTGTTTCCCTGGCTATGTAAGAAAGGGCCACAAGAACTAAGCACTGATGCAACCCATTCTGCCCTCCCTCTTATGATCTGTCAAAGTTCACAGACTCAGCATTGCTGTCAGATGGCCATAGAGCCTCTTTTTGAAAACCTCAAAAGGAGAGCTCGCCACCTCCCGAGGAAGCCTGTTCCACTGAGGAACCACTCTGTCAGGAAATTCTTCCTAATGTTTAGCCAAAAACTCTTCTGATTTAATGTCAACCAACTGGTTCTGGTCAAACCTTCTGAGGCAACAGAAAACAAGTCCGTACCATCCTGTATATGACAGCCCTTTAAGTATTTGAAGATCATTATCATATCACCTCTCAGTCGTCTCCTCTCCAGGCTAAACATACCCAGCTCCTTCAACCTTTCCTCAAAGGACTTGGTCTCCAGACCCCTCACCATCTTTGTTGCACTCCCCTGGACATGTTCCAACTTGTCTATATCCTTCTTAAATTGTGGTGCCCAAAACTGAGCATAATACTCTAGGTGAGGTCTAACCAGTGCAGAGAAAAGTGTTACCATCACTTCACATGATCTGGACAGTACACTTCTGTTGATACAGCCCAAAATCACATTTGCCTTTTTAGCAACCATGTCACACTGCTGACTCATGTTCAGTGTACAGTCTACCAAGACTCCTAAATCCTTTTTGCACATATGACTGCCAAGATTCCCCCATACTATAATTATGCATTTGATTTTTCCTACCTAAATGCAGAACTTCACATTTATCCCCACTGAAATTCATTTTATTTGTTTTAGTCCAGTTTTCCACCCTGTCAAAATCATCCTGTATCCTGACTCTGTCTTCTACTGTATTTGCTACCCCTCCCAATTTAGTATCATCTGTAAATTGAATAAGCATTCCCTGTATTCCTTTATCCAAATCATTTATAAAGATGTTAAATAAAACAGGTCCCAGAACAGATCCTTGAGGCACTCCACTTGTCACTCATTTCCAAGAGGATGAGGAACCATTAACAAGCACTCTTTTGGTCTGTCAACCAGTTACAGATCCATTTAATGGTAATAGGATTCAAACCACATTTTGACAACTTGTCAACAAGAATGTTATGTGGAAGGTTTTCAGAATTCTTAGTGAAATCAAGATAAATTATGTCTACAGCGTTCCCCTGATCCAACAAGATAGTAACTTTCTTGAAAAAAGAGATAAGGCTAGTCTGACATGACTTGCTCTTGAGAAACCCATGCTGGCTCTTAGTAATCACAGCCATCCTTTCTAAGTGCTCAAGGATTGACTGTTTGATTATTTGTTCTAAAACTTTTCCAGGTATAGAGCTCAAGCTTACAGGTTGGTAGTTACATGGATCCTCCTTTTCCCCCTTCTTGAAGATGGGGACAACATTTGTCCACCTCCAATCTTCTGGCACCTCACCTGTTCTCCAAGAATTCTTGAAAATAATGGACAGAGGCTCAAAAATTACATCCGCAAGTTCTTTTAGTACCCTTGGATGCAGTTCATCTGGCCCTAAAGAAACTAGATGTTTATGTTCTACCCCTAGGCCAATTCTAGGCTGCAACTCCCTTCCCTCATCATGTGTTCTGTTTTTTCCATGTTGAGCACCATTTCCCTCACAAGAGAATACTGAGGAAAAGTAGGCATTGAGCAGTTCTGCCCTTTCTTCATCACCTGTTACAATTTCACTTCCCTGTCCCCGCAATAGGCCTACCATGTCCTTGCTCTTTTTCTAACTTTGAACATAAGAAAAGAACCCTTTTTTGTTGTTTTTAGCATCTCTCACTAGCCTGAGCTCATACTGAGCTTTAGCTTTCCTAAATCTCTCTCTACAAGCACTGGTTGTTTATATTCATCCTTAGTTATAAGGTCCTCCTTCCATTATCTAAAGAAGCCTTTTTTATTTCTCAAGTCTTTAGAAAGCTGTTTATGGAACCACCTTTGCTTCTTTAGCCCTCTCCCATCTTTCCTTCTCATTGGAATAGTTTGTGATTGTGCCTTCAATATTTTGCTTTTAAGAAATTCCAATCTCTCTTGAACTCTGTCCTCCTTAAGTATTTCTGACCATGGGATTCTACCCAGCATCACTTTAAGTTTGTCAAAATTAGTTTTCTTGAAGTCCAACCTATATGTCTGACTATGTACAGCTTTTCCCTTTCCCAAGACTGTAAATTCCAAAATTACATGGTCACTACCAGGGTGCTCACTATTTTGACTTCGTCAACCAGTTCTTCCCTGTTTCTGGAAAATGAAGTTGTCAGCAAGACAAGTCAGGAATTTATTGGACCTTTCATTTTTAGCAGAGTTGGACTTCCAACAGATATCTGTTTAATTGAAATTTCCCATGACCACCATGTCCTGTCTCTTTGAGAATTTTATAATCTGTTCTAGGAGTGTTTCATCCAAGTCCTCTGCATGGCTTGGTGGCCTATAGCAGATCCCCACCATAATATCCCTATTATTTCTTACTCCTTTTAGTAAAAATATGGTCTTCCCATAATGGGTTCCATGCCTATATGTTAGAGATGAGTCCTGGGTCTGGAAAGGTTTAGAAGTACTGCATGGAATTAGAGGTAGGATTTAGGTCTGGGGGGATTCAGACCTAACCTCTATCTTTTATTCAGCCTGTGGCCTTCAATAAGTCACACTGGTCTAGTTTTATAGTCTGTGTCAGGGTTACCACCCTCAGGTTGGAGCCTGGAGTTCTCCTGGAATTACAACTGATCTCTGAACTTCAGAGATCAGTTCTTCTGCAGGAAATGGCAGCTTCAGAGAGCATCACATCTCTACCAAGCTCCCAGTCCTCCTCAAACTCTTGTCTCCCCAAGCACCACCCCCAAATCTCCAGGAATTTCCCAAGCCACAGTTGGCATCCTGAGACTCTGTATGCAATATATTCTGAGGAGAGGTGAGTGACTACCAGATACTTTCTTTGAGGTGGCACCTCACTTATGAAATTCATTCCCTGTATGTATTTTCCATGCTTTGGCTAATTATTGTGCAGTTTGGTTGTTTGGAGTTCATTGTCTGTTTGCATGTAGCCATTTTAATCTAAATATTAAAGGGTGAATAGAAAAAGAAAAGTTCTTTGAAAGTTTTCCAACAGCAGGTTTGGTTACAGAGCATATTCATTCTGTGAAGCATTCTGGTGCTGTGAATACCCTATGGCATAAAGCAATTACAGTCTGATATCTGTGCATGGTTTGTCTGATTCACCTTGTTTAAAACTCCTGCCAAGTTAGTGAGTTCATTTTGTCAGAAGTGATAATTAGATAGTAAAGGTAAAGGTTCCCTTGCTCGAAAGCCAGTCGAATCCAACTCTAGGGTTGCGATGCTCATCTCCATTTCAAAGCCAAAGAGCCAGCGCTGTCTGAAGACGTTTCCGTGGTCATGTGGCCGGCATGACTAAACACCAAGGCGCACGGAATGCTGTTTCCTTCCCACTGAAGTGGTACCTATTTATCTACTTGCAATTTCTTGCTTTCGAACTGCTAGGTTGGCAGGAGCTGGAACTAGAGACGGGAGCTCACTCCGTCATGTGGCACCCAGGTCTCGAACTGCTGAACTACCGACCTTCCACAGCCTGCAGTTCAGCGTCTTAACCACTTGAGCCACCACAGCTCCTAATTAGATAGTAGATATATAGAATTATATCTACTACTACATGCCTACATTTTGGCTGATGGTCTTTTAAGAAGACAAAATTGTGCTGTGAATAACACAATTTCAAGGTAATGGCACTGAAGGAAAAACACATTGCAATAGATCATACAACATTCTGTCATTTGCTTCATAAATCTTTTAACGTAAAATCTCTAACTATGCAACTATTTAGAACTTTCCAGGTTAATCCAGGAAACAACTTGAGATCAGCCGCCTTATTTTCTTGCCAGCTGCAAATGCAACCACCTGCTACCATTGCATGCTAGGTGGGCTGAGGAAACCCATCTCTAGTCTCTGAAGAAACCCATCTCTTGTCTCTGCAGGAGAGAACCTTAGCCCCCCCACCTCTTGACCAATGGCAGCTACTTCTATTCAATCATTGGCTAGGGTGTTGAAAGAGTGAGAGAGAAAAGGTGTTATTCAACAACAACAACACTAGACACATTGGCTGATTAACAGATTTTTTAAATAGCTATCCAATATGGGTCACTGGGATGCAATATTATACTGGAGATCCCAATACAAGTCGGAGGGTATGGGAGCCAAGAAAATATCAGATGTACAGAATGATAATAACTACATAATAACTATGCATGTATATTAAAAGCTAACCACTGCCTTTTGCAAGATAATCAGGTAAGTGACTGTTCAGTCCACTATCAGGTATGCGGTAAAAGCAAAAGAGTAAGAAGGTGGTAAAAGAAAGAGCATGTCCTTACCTGTTCCACAAGCTGTGCACTTGGTAGGTTCACTTCCATTGCATTCCTTACACGTGTGATGGCACAAATGACACTGATTTTGAAATTCAAATTTTCCTTTAGGGCACCGGAGAACACAGCGTCCATCATCCAAAAGTCTATTACAAAAGAGGAGAGGGGAATAGAATACGAGTGCCAAGCAATAGAGCAGTATCTTCTTCTTAAAGAACAGGCTCAAAGGACCTCTGAAAGCGAGTGCCATACTTGGTTTTATTTATGACTTATATGCCTTGCACTTTGTTCTCTTTTCTACGTGGAACTTATTTATGACATTTGGCAAGATAGAGTAAGGACAGCTAAGCCTTGAACTTGAAGTTATTTTATATTGCCAAATATAACCAAGTGTTTCACTGACAATCACCATTGATCCCATGCCTTCTGCCTCGCCCACAGAAGTGTTCCAAAGGTCTATTAAAAATGCGTGAAGAATCAATAATTTTTCATGGACCTGCCTTTACAAAACCTATGTTTTGCTGTACAATTTGATTGCATTTCTTGCTCTGTTTGGTTTGTTCTGTCACCTCAGGAAATCCTAGCTCTAACTTTAAAAACAACAACAACACTAGACACATTTTATGATGGCTTTCTTTTGGCAGCTGAATAATAAATTGGCTTTTGCAACAATGTGTGTGAATTGTCAACAGAAGGCAAATGACTGTCATCCTAGTGTGTTGAGCCTCATTTTAGTTTCCTTGCATTTCACTCAAAATGTATATGGAAAAGGGAAGAAATGTATTACATTATTAATATACTGTGATCGATATACTACAGATACGTTGGTGTAAATATGAGCCGATGCATTATAACCAGTGTGTGATATGCACATCTATGGAGTATCTAAAGTTGTCAGCTCCAGCTTCAGAAGTTCCTGGAAATTGGGGGATGCTGCCAGGGAAGAGCAGTTAGGGAGGGGAGGAAGCTCAGCAAGGATGTGATGCCACAGAGGCCACCCTCTGACCTATAGGTATTGTTTGTGTAATGTGCCATCAAGCCTCAGCCAACTTATGACAACCCCAGCAAGGGGATTTCAAGGCAAGTGAGAAGCAGAGGGGGTTAGCTGTTGCCTTCCTCTGCAGAGCCTTCCTTGGTGATCTCTCTTCCAAGCATTGGCTCTGCTTAGCTTCCAAGATCTGTCAAGACTGGGCTATACCATGCTGCCTTTCCCCATACCTATATGTATTACCTAAAGGCAGAGCTATTTTGGGGCAGGAACGCACAGGAACAGAGTTCCGGCTGGCTTCAGAGTTGGCCATGCCCATTACAGCCAAAACCTCTCTGTGCGTGGCTACAGAGGGAAGGCATGGAGAGCAACCCCCACAGTGACTCTGAGGAGGGCTGCCAGGGCCCCCCCTGGAAGGATTGGGGAGGCATTTAAATGCCTCCCCGTGCCTTCCCTGGCCTGTCCTCCCCTGCCTTCCCTTCCCTCCAAGGGGGGGGGCTTGCCCAGGCTCCCTGCAGCCACAGAGCACCCAGGGAAACCAAGGGCCTTCAAGAGGGGGCTTACCCACCACCCCCTATAGATGGAAAGCCTGAGCACCAGGTCGTGACATCACAGCAATGGCGATGAGAGTAGTCATAACATTCCCTGTGTGGTTATGTGGGGCTAAGCAGAGGGCTGCTGTTAAGTGTGCATCACACCCTGTGTAATGATTTCAGTTAGTTGGTTGTGTTCCTTTAAATGTTTTGTTGAATATAGCAGAGTTAGAGAGTTTGGAGTTAGGAGTGTGAGGAGAATTTGGCAGTTTGAATTCAGTTGAAGGAGTGTTCGGTTGGAGAAAGACTTCAGTAAAAGTTGGCAGTGGGTGTGAGAGCTGACAGAAAGGTAGGTTGTTTTCACTTAGTGAGCCAAAAAATAGTGGAATAACTATTAAGCGAAATATGTAGTGAACTGTAGTGTACTGTGGTGAAATCTTATTGAAGCAGTCTGCTAACTGTGAGGTCTGGTTTGGTGTTACAAGCTGAAACACTTTCAGTATTTACTGGGTTAATGATGTTTGTTAAGTCACATGTTTGTTAGTGATTTGTTTGCATTTTATGGCTTCTCTTCCCCTCTTGTTGTTTCTTTGTTCTTACCAAGAAGAAGCTGGCTATTCTGCCATTCCAGTTTAGCTGTGAGGATGTAGTTTGGGGTTGGTTTGGGGTTGTTGGGGGTTTTGGGGTTTTTTTTTTTACACAGTGGCCGTCTTTATTTTCACGGAAGGAAGAGGATTCCTCTTGCTTGCTTTTGGAGGACTCTGGACGTGGTGGGTTGATTCCCCGAAGCTTCCCTTTCCCCTCCCTTCCCCCCCTCTTTGCAAAAGAGAGACACTTGCAAAAATCAGGGTCTCCCCCCCCCCAAAAAAAATGGCAGGAACCCTAGTTTTGGAAGGGAATACCAGGAGATTGGAGGGAGGGGGAGGCTCGAAAATGTGAATCTGACCAGGATTCTAAGGGTGGAGGCTAGGGGGGAAGCAGTTGTTGCTGAAATGGGGATGAGAAGGAATCACATGTGTTCATGCATTTAAATGCAGCTACTAAATCAGATGTCAGTGCAGGAGTGCATGTAAATCATCTTTAAAAGGAATTAAGGTAGCATTGTCAAAGAAGCCAGTAGAACATATTATATGGACTGTGTCTATAGCATGTCTAAAGTCTGTGGAAGCATTAGATGAAAGTGAATGTAGTCTTTTTGATGGCGTTTGTGACAATGGCCACTCTGGCATTGTGTACACCAGGATGATAACGTTGATAGCAGTCAATACATTCCTGAACAACTATTGTAAAAAAGAAAATGGGCAAAGATTGTCACAAACAACACAGAGGAAATTGCAAACTTTGCAGAAGTAATGTAGTTGCCTTTCACATTAATTTGCCCCTGAACTGCAACAACGTGAGTTGAAATGACAACTAGGGAGATTTAGATTCATTGAAGGCCACAATGTGTAGTTTCTGTATTTTTCTCTAATTTACTAATTTACTCAAAAGACGTTCCATAGGAAGATTGATTGTTGTACTCTCTTTCTATTACTCACAACGAACTTTGTACACCAATATCCAGTGTAGCTGGGTTTTTTTGGTAACTGGAGATTATAATTGAAGTTTACTGTATGTGAAAACTTCTTACCTAAGTATGAGTTTGTGCATATTAATATCTCATGCTGTGTCAATGGTAAATAAAAAGTAATACTGAAAACCAGAAGTTATTAAACTCTTAGTATTATTTGACAATACTATCATACAACAGACATCCACCACTTTCCCCTATTATATGCTTGTAAATTATACGAAACATACACTCAAATATGCAAGGGAAACTGAACTCAGTAACACTGTAAGCTAGTGTGAAGAATCTGGAATACTGCAGTAAAAGAATCAAGAGAATATCTTGTTGAGTTCACGTGAAACTGCAAGTTAAAACACTTGTGACAGTAGCTGGCAACTGCAGAGTTCAGGGACTGTTATGACTACCTTTGACGACGTCAAAGGTTATGACGTTTTGTGAGGCCCTAATTTGGTTTGGAAGTATTTGTGTTGGTTAGGTACTTATTTATTTCATTAGATTGGTGAGTACTTTGACTCATCCAAGCATGTGGGAACCACCCAAACCAGCCACTCATAACTGAATGGTCCTGGGGAATGGAGGGGAATGAATTAATCCCTCAGTGCTGCACATAAACGCTTGTTCCTTTGCACTCCATGCAACATTTCTCTGCACAAGTTTAGTGCAGGCAAGAAAAAGCAAGGCATGACCTGTGGACATTTTGAAGTGGAGCTAAGTTAGAATTGCCCAAATGCTTGCAAACTCAATTGGGCAACTTTTTTAGAGAATTTATACATTGGAGGGATGTGAGTTTAATTAGTTGTACAGTTCACATTGTAATTAGTAAACCTTCGTTTTACCCATGTTGTGAAACCTTAGTTTTACCCATGTATTTTGCCTGGTGTCATCATTTCTGAATATGAATGTATTTCCAAATACAGGCCTGTATCAAATCTGCCTGCTCAAGGTAAAGTGATTGAAAGGGTAATAGTGGAGCAGGGTTTTCTGCCTGATGCATCTGCCGTTGAACTTTTTGCGGTTTGGCTTTGTGGCAGAGATGGCTTTGATTGCTCTGGTGAATGATCTCTACGTCAGATCCTTGAGTGAGACAATGTGAAGCTTTAAGTTGGCTTTAATTAATGAGTCAATGACAACCAGCTCACTGTCATTTTGAATAAACTGTGTTCTTGGCCAGTGCCTGGATACAATGGTTGGCAAGTCTGACATTCTGGGATAAGTGAGGCTGGCCCTTGTGAACAGTTTCTTAATTATTTTGGACTAGGGCTGCTGTTGTGAAATCAGGTCAACATGGTTAATTACATCTTGTGCATAAATTATCTCTACTTCTAGGCTCAACCAATCTGGCAACATTGTTCCATGCTTCTATAATCTTAAAGGTAGACTGCTGCAATGTGTTCTAGATGGGGCTGCCCTTGGCAACAACTGAAGCATGCAGGTTTGACCCAATAAAAATATCTTAACTGTCTGCCTACTTGTTTCTGGGTTCAGTTCAAGGTGCTAGTTCTTACCATTAGAGACCTTCTTGTCCAAGGTGTCATATGCTTAAAAGATTGCTTCACTTTCCCCATTTGCCTCTCCTTTCCATGGCCTCACCAAAGCCAAATAGATTTGCCTTAGCATGATCACAAGCCTTTTGAGCAGTGGCTCTGTGCTTTTGGAATGGCCTTCCAGAGGAAGTGAAATTCTTAATTGCTGGCAGGGGCCAGTCCGTAGAAAAAGAGGTGCAGGAGCTCATTAGCATAACTCATTAGCATAACTTATTTGCATATGCCACACTCCCTGACATCACCGGAAGTGTGTCAGAAGGCAACACCCACTGCTCAGGCTCCACTAGACTGTTTTGGATTGCTAGCTATTGGGGGGGGGGACGTGCAGATCTGTCCTTGCAGAGGAGGGAGAGCTTGTACCTGAATAAAACTTGGTCTTAAAGGTGCCACTGGACTGTTTTGGACCGGGCTCTGCAACTTACCTGGCTGCTTCTTGCTCTGACTGAGGGCTGCTGGGAGCAGGGGGTGGGGCTTGTTGCATGTGCCCACCCCCTGGGCTCTTTACTGCCGGAGCTCCGCTCCTGTGCACTCCTGCAGGAAATGACCCCTGATTGCTGGTAATTTTTAGGAAATGGTGCAAAGCTGTTATTAAGAAGGGCGTTTGAGGGAGAGGGGTTTTTTTTAATGACATCTTCTCTGGATATTTATTTACTGCTGTTCTATTGGCTGTGGTGGTAAATGCTGTTGCTGTACAGTGCCTAGGTTTTTCAAAACCCATTTTGACTGCACTGAGTCCCCTTTTAAGAGTAAAGGTGAGATATAAAAAACTGAAATAAATACATGTAAATAAATGATTGGGAGCATTTAGAGTGTTAGCAACACAGTGCTGCTAACACATTATAGAAAATGCATGGGGCCTCTTTGGAAGGATGTTGCCAACAAAACTTAACACAAATGAAGAAAGAATTTTTCTCCTTTATAATGAGAAATATGCAGCATGTAGATGCAAATTAAATAACAATTAACTGAAATAAAGGGAGGAAGGGAAGGAATTTCTGTGTTGCATTAAAAAGAAATAACAGTCCTATAATTATTTGAATAAGGGAATATCCTGACACCAGATTTAACATAATATGAAATATTGCTTTGTGAATATTTCCCATACACAAGTTTTTCCAAAGGACTTTCAGTGATACAAAACCCACAAGACTTATTTCATCCTTTGTCAAAATGAAAGAAAAGCTCATAGTAAGAACTCCTCTCTGCTGAATGTCAGGTTGCATTATATAAGTGTCATTCATTGCTTGCTTAAATCCAAGCCATTTATAGACCATAAAGAACCAGAGGACCCAGGAGACTCTGAGGCTTCACAAAGGTCCATTTCCACTAAATTAAAACTATCATGCTCCAGAGCTCTTTATTTTATTGTCCTTGTGTCTTATTTCTGTACTGAGGAATTGTTATATTTCATTTTTCTTTCTTGCTCCTCATTACTTCCTGTTGGATATTTGTACAACTCTAAAGCCACTGAAAGTGTATTAGGAATGACCTCTAGAGGGCTGAGGAGAAAGGGGAATACAGCAATAAAAATTGAGAGAGAAATGAGAACTCATATATAGCTTTTAGGATAGATGAAGTAAAAAGTTAAAGTCATTTTCTGTATGAAAATATTCAGGTCAGTGTTAGGAGGTGAGAAAAGATCCTAATATCTTACTGTATCTCTTTATACAAAATTATCAGAAATTCTCCCATAATTTTGTAAGCTTCCAAATACACAACACTTTTAGGTCCAATTAGACATTTTGTGAGGCCATAGGCTGAGTCAATTGTGATAAATAATAATGGTCATCACATGTTCAACTTGCAATTCGACTCAGAAAGCAACTTGAAAAGTAGCATAATACATGTAGAAGAAGCTGCAACCTTTAAAAGTGTTAGAGACTCATAACTAGTTAATACGTACCTTGTGGATACACAGCGGATGCAGTCCTTTGAGGTTGGTCCTATGCACTTAGAACACGAAGCATCACAGAATTGACAGTGACCACCAGGATCAATATATTCTCCTGGTAAATAAAAGCTTATTGGTTACTTAATCCCCTTTGTATATTACAGACCATCTTTATAAAGCAAGGCATTGTACCAGCAAATGAAACAAAAATCTGATCAGTTGTCACTGGCTTAAAAAAAGGCAAGCAGATATTGCAAATACCCTAAATTTACAGAACAGCTGTTTTCAAATACTTTCTTAGGAGGGTAGTTTATGTTGACTATGAGATATATATAAGTTCTTTGAAATGATGCATTGCTAGAGTTCAAGAAACAATAAAGAAGCAAAAAAAAAAGATTGTAGTGGCATAGTTTGAGATCTCTGAGGGTGAACTTGGTATCATGATCATAGCTGTTTGCCTTCCAGTTTTGAAATTGTGTGATTATGATTGACTTGTATAAGGCACAATAGGGATTAAAACCTATAGTATGTCCCATAAGGATCTTCTAATGACTTTGTGCAATGTAAACAATCCTTAGAAATATCCCTCAGATAAGATGGAACCAATGTGACAAATTTAACATATTCTTCTGAAGGGATAAGAATAAAAATGTCTGGGCAGATATGGGTCTTTTGATGAAGGAAAGCTCATCTATATCTCCCATAACTCTCCACGCCTCTTTTTTAAACATCCTGGAAGTGTTAAAAGAGAAAGTGTAACTTGTATTCCCTTTTTTGGCACTTTTGATAATGGATGAAAACACCATTAGTAATTTAGAGTAGACAGTGTTTGATTACAAAATGCTTGAGTAAGAAAACATACAGTTAACTAGCAGCAAACAGCACAGAAAAAGGCTATTGTGGGCCACAAAAGCTTTGTGAAAGAAGATGGGAAACAATTTAAAGGAGCTGATTTGATTAATCATAGCTTGGGGAAGCCCATGTTCCATAGAAATATAGATTGCATATAGAAGAATCTCCAAGTGGGGAGTCTATACAAATGGGGGGCTGGACTGAATTCAAAAATAAATTGTGGGCATAACTTGCTGTACTATATCCTTCAGAGACAAAGAAGTAGCATCTCTCCAATAGAAAATTCTGAACTGACATGGCTCCAAACTAATTTGGAATGGTCTGTAACAAATGAAGTGTTGTCCATGGAGGGATTTGCAAACATGCCCTGATTTCCAGGAATTGTTAGCACATTCATATCTGGCAGGAAGTGAAAATAGCAAATTTCTCTGCTTTGCCTTCAATAATCTTTTTATCTATAAACTGAAGAGAATAATATGTATATTCTGTTTTATTGCTAAATACTGAAGAATAACACAAATATTAATGAAGAGATTAACATATTTATCAGATGTTTATATTTGGTGTTATACATGTTTATGACATACCAAGCAGCAATCCACTCTCCCATGACCAGGGTATCTCTATAGCGATAATTGGAAACAGCAAAGAAAAACAGAAAACAACTGTGAGCTGAATATCCCGCAAAAAAGGTATACAAAAGGAGACTTCAATGAAGTGAAATGCATGTATAGTCATATAATCCCTCATAGGAAAATACAGAAGCCAACAAGATCCATAATAGGAAAATACGGAGTCCAAAGAAAATATCCAACACTTTTCCTAGGTGGTTTTCAGTGTTTCAGACTTCTGGTCCTTCCTCAGGAACAAAGAACTGTGGAAGTACAAAATTACAATAATACTATTTTAACAATATTACTTATATTACTTTTTAAAACAATATTTCAAAAATACAAAAGAGTCCTATTAAATTAATAACATCCTTATACTATTGTCACTGTTGCATAGAGTCTCATTCAATCTTACCAACCATTGGGAGTCTCATTCCATTTCCTTATAGCATAATACTATTCTGTTTCTCTGTAAAAGAGAATTCCTCCTTAGAATTTAAGAGTATATATTTAAGAACATTTTAAGAAACAGCACAATGTATTTTCCTATGCGGGATTATATGACTATACATGCATTTCACCTCATTGAAGTCTTCCTTTGTATACATTTTTGCGGGATATTCAGCTCACAGTTGTTTTCTGTTTTTCTTTGCTATTTCCTACTGTGAGCTGTGCTGTTTGTTGTGATAATTGGAAACCGGCATTAGCACTGCGCTTGATCTGCTGGTGGTCCCTGGCCCCAAAGATGTCTGCCTAACCTTGACCAGAGCCAGACCCTTCTCACCTCTGGCACTGACCGAGTGGAACACTCCCCCTGCTGAGATCTGGGCCCTGCAGGACCTCTTACAGTTCCACAGAGCCTGCAAAACAGAGATGTTCTGCCAGGCCTTTGGTTGAGGTGGCAGAGACCTATTTATTTTGGCTTCCCCTTCCTTGCATTGCTTGTTATATGTAATCTATACTGTCTTTCATCTGCCCCATCAGCATCAGTTACCATTCACCTACACATGTGGGGGGAGCCTATGCAAGACTAGATAGAGATGAAGTGATTAGATGATGCCATCAATTGTTATTACTGTTATTTATTGATGTTATTTTATTGTTGTTTAATGCTTGGTTGTGAAGTTTTAGAGGTTGGATGGTGCATCTACAGTTTGTTGTAACATGCCCTGAGCCTGCTTGCATGGGAGAGCAGGCTAAAAGTCTAACAAAATAAATAAATAAAGAAGCTTAATGTCAGAAAATTAATTTGGTATGTCAGATGGTGAACTCTTTTTCTTTTTGCATTTTAGAGCATGGCTGCCTTGCTAAAGATGTCCTTGACACTTGAAATCCAGATACAACCTTTATTGACATGTTTACCATTATTCTCAGTTTCAGTGAGTTATTGAGAAGTGCCTTTCCTTTGAAAAATATCTTGATCCCTCTCTAACATACTCATATTTTTCCATGTTCAGTCCAAGTGGCTTGAATGTCAATTAATGCAACTACTTGCCAGCCTCAACCACATCTGGCTGTGGCTATTTTGTAGCCAGTCAGAACGAAAGACCCCATGTCAGAATGGAGACTAGTGAATCTGGATGAAGGATAGAGCATTGCTCTCTCCAGACTACTAAAAACTGATGTATGAGCACATAGGTAGTTGCTTTATGTTGCTTTTGCTTCTTGTTGCTTTGCTAGAATAAGTCAAATGGAAACTGAACCCCTGTAAGATGACACAAGACAGAAATTACCTGTAGCTAGAGTTTCCATCTTTCTTTTTCCTGACAATTCATGACTACCAGAAGTATAACAGGTGCAAGTTTTTCCACCGCTGCACCAATATGCTGGGAAATGATGCAGCTCTTGCATTCCTACTTGTACCACAACTTCCCTCTCAAGGGCACCACAGATAGCAACCTTACCAACTGGCAGATATTGTAACAGAATTCCTGCAAGACGAATATGGTATCACAAACTCCATCCAGTTGTAACAGTTTGAAGGGGGGAAACTATCATAGGTATCCCCTATCAGCCATGAAGCTCTGTGGGACAGTGACTTTCTCTCAGCCTAACTTCCCTCACAGTGTTGTAATGAGGAAAAAATGAATCATATATCCTGCCAGATCTCCTCAGAGTAAAAGCAGGACAAAAATGTATCCAGATGAGTTTCTGGAGGTGAGATCAGTGACAGAGCCAACAATTCAGAATTCTAAAATATATTTAAAATGTTCTTTTCTACCTACTTTGTCACAGAAATGAGAGCCTCCTCAAACTGATACTGCCCTGTCATTTTTAATGGTGCTGATTTCTTCTCCATTTTCCTTCATGCAATGCAATCTGGAATTTATCTCCCCTTTTCTTTAATAAATTTGCCTTTCTAAATATTAAGGAAGGTACAATGCTTGCATTGCAAGAGTGAAGATGATAAGCTGATTTTGTGATGCAACTGATATTGTATTAACATATTTATTCATTTAAATATTTATACACACCCTTTCCCTTGTAGCTCAGTTGGCTTACAATTCCAAAGTTAAAAACATACAAAATACAATTGAACACCATTCTCCCCATATAATTGATATATGTAAAGCTTTATTTCAGGATGAATCCAGCAGTAACTTTCCCCTAATGCCATGCACTTCTCTCCATGGAACAGAACTTTCCTGCCTCACCAGTCCTGCTGCAGTCTACTGAGTTCTCCTCAGGAACATCATGAGGGTTGGAGGGGAGGATTAGTGAACATTGTCATTTCTTTTGCTGGCAGAAAATTGCCACTAGACTTTTTGTTTGCTGTGGTGAATGCGAGCAAAGTTTCCATGAAAAATTCAGAAAAGGGTCTATTAGACATATACTTCTTCCTTTCTTCCTGGACTCTGAGACAAATGTGCCTTATCCATCACATTAATCTCCCCTTTCTTCCAAGGAATTCAGGGTGGTATTCATGAGTGAGGTAAATGCATGTTTATTATTCCTTGCAACAACCCTGAGAGAGATGGCTAGGCTGAGAGAGAATAAGCAGTCTAAGTTCAACCAGTGAGTTCAACCACTGGTAATCTCAGCCAGTCAGGGATTTGAACCCAGGGCTATTGTCCAAATCATATACCATACTGGCTCTCAACATATTGAACTTCTGAGTAACATGTAGAAAATGTCATGTCCAGTTAGGTACTCAGACAGCAGGGTCTTATGCATCAGAGTTGCTGCTTCTTATGCCAGAATAAAAATATGAATAGATACATTACTGGCACCTATGGTGGCCTTGGCTAGACAACTAAATTGTCTTCCTTTTGAGCACTTCAAAAGCATGAGACTCACTGCTGCTGCTTCAGTACCCCCCCCCCCATTTTAAAGAGCTCCATTAGTATGTGATCTCAACTAATCAGGGATCATGTAGTGAACATGATTACTTCATAATTTAAGAGTTATATTTTAAAACAAAAATAGACCCTGAGAGGGTGAAGGGAGCCAAACCCTGCCACATTACCTTGCTGCATGTCAGCATTTATCTTCAGCCCAGCTTGGATACTAGAAGTAAGCTACAAGAAAAATGAATAATGCACTGCAGAGCAGGAAGATAAGGAGGGGAGGGCCAGAATTTAGCTCCCCTCAACCACATTTTCATTTTTAAAAAACAAAAAGATGAATGCTACCTGCTCCCAAAGAACTGCTA